TTAAAGCCTACGTCGCGTTTAAAATCCACGGGGGGTGTGTTTTTTTTTTATTCTGACAGCGCCTGTTTACGGCACCCGGCTCTCTCTCTCTCTCTCTCTTCCTCCCCCCCTCCCAACTCGGTATTTATTCTTCCCGTACTTTTGTAGGAAAATGGAAATCGCCGCTCCTCCCACCTCCAAGTGCATCATCTACTGGAAGAGAAAAGTCAAGTCCGAGTACATGCGCCTGCGGCAGCTGAAACGCTTCCAGGCCAACATGGGGGCCAAGGTGAGGACCTGGGGGCTCGGCTCCGGCCACCGTCGGACGGACCCCATGAACCCCACAGCAGTGTTTTAGCTGAGGATGGATGAGACCCCCCCCCTCTGCCCCCTCTCCATCCCAGCCCCTTGGCTGGTTGGTGCAGGAGGCTCCTTTCGCTCCTTCCCTGCGGTGTCTCCCCCCGGAGCCCCTGACTCTGGGGACACTGTCACGTCGCTCTGGGCTGGTGGGATTTGGGAGAGGGCACCCGGGGTCGGGAGCTGTCAAACCCCACTGGCCCATCAGGTCGATGGTCAGCACAGTTTTGTACCACCGCTGAGTTTAATTAGAATTCCCTCTAATGAGAATCATTGATTTGGAATGCTCTGCCTCGCGCATGTTTTGATGCTTGAAACGGGGTAGGGGGGGTGGGTGGAGGGGGGTGTGTGTTTAGTGTTCTCAATGTGATTTCTTAAATTTTAAGCGCTGCTTTCTCTCGTTCCAGGCTCTGTTTGTGGCCAACTTTGCCAAGGTTCATGAAAAGACACAGATTCTGAACGAGGACTGGAAGAAGCTGCGGGTGCAGCCGGTGCAGCTGATGAAGCCGGTCAGCGGGCACCCCTTCCTCAAGCAGGTCTGGTGGGGAGAGGGCACGGCAGTCACCAGCATGGGCTGGAACAGGGTTTTTCAGGGGCATGGGGCTGGTTTCCCTGTCTGCTGTCCTGTTTTGGCGTCGGGCCGTGCCTCGCACCCTGCTGGGATGCAGAAATGGGGAAAAAAACCCACCCCAAAGGCTTTTCCTGTGAAGGAGCCCCAAAGAACAAGCCGGGGATGTTACTCAGTGTATCCTGGAGGGTGGCTTCCTCACTCCTTGCTCTTTTCCAGTGTACTGTGGAGAGCATTTTCCCGGGATTTCCGAGCCAGACGCTGTACATGAGGACCCTGAACACGGTGGCACTGGTGCCCATCATGTACTCCTGGTCCCCGCTTCAGCAGAATTTCATGGTAGGTAGAAAGGTCCCGGTGCCATCAGCATGTAATTGTGACATGGTTGTGGGGTGGTTGCATCTTCCTCAGCCCACTTGTCTCAAGCGATGTGGGCTCATGAGATGATGGAAGGCATTGGTTTAGTTGCTTGTTTTGTTGAATCCCATGAAACAGCCGTGTGTCCACCGTCTTGTCCAGCTGGTCTCTCCTTTACTCAGGCCCCCTTGATAGGGCCACCATTATTTCGCAAGATTCAAAGTATAAATATGGGGGTTTGGGTGTTTCTCTTTTCTTCTTAAGGCTTTTCTTCCATTTTAGTGCTGGGAGGTATGGTTTAGCGATGGTGTTGCTTTTTGTTTGTTGTGTGGGTGTTTATTTTTGTCAAAATTAGGTTGACAGTTGGACAAGATGTTCTTTAAGGTCCCTTCCAACCTAGAAGATTCTGTGATTCTGTGATAAATGCAGAGTTTTATTTCTTAGGCAGGTCCTGTCCCTTGTGACCGGGTGACCCTGTGGGTCTGGTTGTACAGATGCTGCTGAGAATCGGTTCCTCTCTTGTAGGGGGGTGATTTAAAGGCAGGTTTTGGTGTGACATAGTGGGGATGATTTGTTAAAGGCGTAGGGGGTGTGTGGCTGACCTGGTTCCTCACCTGGCCAGGGCTGTGGAAGGGTTCCTCCACCTGCAGGGCCCTCCAGAACCTCCCGTGGTGGGCTGGGGAGCAGCGTGACCCCGTCGGTGGGTGCCATGGCAATGAGGGTCCAATGTCCTCCCTCCTCACTCTGTTCCTCTGGGGAGTGAGTCCCCACTTTGCCTTTGGCTGTTCCAGCTCTGCTTGGCCTCCAGCATGATCTCTCTGATGTGTTTTTTTGGCTGTTTATTTTTCTTGGCAACGTGTGTGTTTGGGAGTTTTGTGAGCCCCGGAGGCACAGCTCTGCACAAATTGCACTTTTGGGGAGTCAGAGCTGTGCTGCTGGCCTGGGACAAGGGTGAAATGTCGGTGATGGGACACGAGGAGCTGCTGGGGGGAGGCCAAATCCCCGCTTTGCCCGGTGCCATCTCGATGCTGAGCAGCCCCAGAGACGTCCTGGTTCTCTGAGTTGTGTCTGGTCTCTCCTCAGGTGGAGGATGAAACTGTTCTGTGCAATATCCCTTACATGGGAGACGAGGTGAAGGAGGAAGATGAAACTTTCATTGAAGAACTCATTAATAACTACGACGGGAAGGTCCACGGGGAGGAAGGTAACCCGGGAGCAGCCACCACTGTCCACTCAGTCTCTTGCAAAGAACATACCCAAGTAGTTAAGAAGTCAAAAGGTGGCAGCAGTAACCAGCTTTTCTGTGGGAGCTCCTAGAGCAGAAGATGAGGAGGGTGCCTGTTGTTCTGCTTTTTGAGGATGTGGTCCTGCCTTTCAATATCCTGCTCTGGGTTTGGGGCTCTCTGGAGTCGATGCTCTTGTCCAAGGGGGGGTCACAGGATGCTGGAAAACCTGCTCGAAGTTGGGAGGAGCTCAGCAACCTCATTTCACCTGTGATCTTGGCCAAGGCTTTAATCAGTCTTCTCAGAAATGAAAAGTCAACGTGTTTCCCTGCCCCATCATAAAACCCTGCCTGGGGGGAGGAAGGCAGTGGGAAACTGGTGTGGCCTGTCCTCAGGTGGCTAAAAATGATACACTAATCTTAGGGCTCTCTCTAGCGTTAAAATCCCACCTATCCCTGCAGAACAGAGGGAGATTTCTGGTTGCTGATGGTGTTGTGTGGCTGATGATGTTGTGTGGCTGATGAACTTGTGGTTGACCACCACGAGGAGCGTGAGAGACGATGGCATTCCCACAAACTGGCTGACGCCTCTGTGTTTCAGAAATGATTTCAGGGTCAGTCCTCATCAGCGACGCTGTCTTCCTGGAGCTGGTGAACGCCCTGAACCAGTACTCAGACGAGGAAGAGGAAGGACACAATGATGCTGAGGTTAAACAGGAGGATGGGAAAGAGGAGCTGCCGGTCACCAGGAAAAGAAAGCGAATTGCGGTGGAAGGTGGGTTTTGCTGCAGGAATTGGGGTTCCCTTGGTCACGATCCCCCCCCTGCCCTGCCCGAGCAGCTGCCCACTGCTCTCTGCCATCGCTTGGTCACTGCTGTGTCACCAGCTGAGCCAGTTCTGGTGCCGTGGTCCAAAGCAGAAGGGAAATGGGTTGTTCTCGCTGTCCCCTGTGGAGGGTGAGAAATCACCAGCTTGAAGTGTCCTGAGGAAGAATTTAGATGAGTCATGTGGAAAACCATTTCATGGTTAGATGAGCGAAGCAGCGGGGTGTTATCCGGGCAGGCTGCGGGTTCTCTGCTCTTAGAGGCTTTAAAGTGCTGGTCTGGGAAGCATCTGCTAGTAGGTTTGTAGGTAGATCTGATCCTGCTGTAGGCCAGGGAGGGAGAACTCTTCAAATCCCTTCCAGACCCATTTTCCAGGGATTCGTGTCCCTCTTCCTTCCCATGTGCCTCCTGGAGTTCTCGTTGCTCTGGTTTGTGGGGTTTTCATGTGTCCTGCATGACCTTAGAAATGCTGACTGGTGGTTTCATCTTTATCTCTGGTTACAGTGATAGGGGTGGCACAAACACCAGGAACTTCCATAGATACAGAAAAGCATTGTCTGCAAATCCTGTCCTGGTAAAAATAGTAAATAGTCCTTAAGAAATTCTTAGTTCCATCAATATGTTACGCTACTCTAGGAGTGGGAGAGCGTGCTGTGTCTGGAGATACCTCAGCCTGGTCGCAGGACAAAAGGTCTATCTGGTGTGTGTATGGGAGTATGTTTCTGTCTCTTAAAGCACAGTCCTGAACCGCCACTGGAGGGAGGGATCACACGTTGACACCCAGCCCCATTGAGGAATCCCATCTCTGCTTTTTCTTAGGTAGCAAGAAGTGTTCCAAGAAGCGGTTTCCAAATGACATGATATTCACGGCTATTTCTTCCATGTTCCCTGAATACGGCTTCCCGGATGACATGAAAGAGAGGTAACACATAGGGAGGGACTCTTTGCCAGGAAGGGTAATGATAGGACAAGGGGAAATGGTTTTAAATTGGAAGAAAAAAGATTCAGATTAGATCTCAGGAAAAAATTTTTTACTCTGAGGGTGGTGAGACACTGGAACAGGTTGCCCAGGGAAGTTGTGGCTGCCCCATCCCTGGAGGGGTTCAAGGCCAGGCTGGATGGGGCCTTGAGCAACCTGCTCTAGTGGGAGGTGTCCCTGCCCATGGCAGGGGGGTTGGAACTTGATGATCTTTGAGGTCCCTTCCAACCCAAACCATTCTATGATTCTATGATCTCTGCTTGGGCGTTACCTTCCTCAGTGAGGTCTGTGTTTGGGAAGGTGGCTCCAAGCAGAAGGCAGAGCTCGTTGGCCACTGACGCCGTGAGCGTTGGGGCTTTAGTTCAGCCTCCCTCAGGGTACCAGGAGTCCTGCTGGCCCAGATTGCGATGCAGCTGTGCAAAAAGCCCTGAATTAGGAAAGCTGGCACATCTAGGGGCTGTTTCTGTTTGTTGGCAGGTACCGGGAGCTGACGGAGGTGTCGGACCCCAACGTGCTGCCGCCGCAGTGCACCCCCAACATCGACGGGCCCTGCGCCAAGTCGGTGCAGCGGGAGCAGTCCCTGCACTCCTTCCACACCCTCTTCTGCCGCCGGTGCTTCAAATACGACTGCTTTCTGCATCGTAAGTGCAGCCTCGGCCGGACGCTTCCCTAGAGCCCCTTTTCTCCTCCTTTTTTTTCCTCGGTGCTTCATTCCCTGCTCGTCTCGCTTTGGTGTCTGTGCTGTGCCTGGGCTTTAACCAGGCACTGCCCGCCCGGAGCTGCCGAGCAGCCTCGGGAGCTGAGGGGTGCCCAGAAGCCTTTTGTAAAGATGGCTCCACTCAAACGGATGGCAAAGGGACCCTGGTGGCCATCTCCTCTCCCCATGGCTCAGCTCGCCGCCCCCCAGCCTCCCAGAGGCAGCCGGTGCCCGAAAAGCTGCCTCCGCCAGACTTTGCTCTTGCTTTGCAGAAGCTCATCAGGGAAAGGCTTGAATGTTTCGCTGCCAAAGTCTGGACTTGCCCCTGTCTTTTGTTGCTTCACTGGAACCTCCAGCTTCGTCTTAGTCATGTTCCTGCGGTTTGTCCTGCCAAAAGCCTTTCGGATACTGAGTAGCTGCTGGACCTGCCGATTCCCCAGGTCTAAGGGCTTCTTTGGAAAGTCACAGGACTCTTTCCAGTGAATTATTTATTAAAAGATATAATATTAAGATCATGTGGTCTTTTTGTTTCAGTCTGAAAGCAGATCTTTTTCCTTTGGCCTCTCCTTGCCCAGCATCTCCTGGAACTGCTGGGTCCCTGTCAGGGGTCGGAGTGGGGCTGGCCAGGACCTCCTGACCCATGGTCCCCGCTGCCAGGGGCTCTGGCCGGCCACCCTTGCTGTCCCTGTCCCCTGCAGAGTGGGGGGAGACCCTTGGAGAGCACTAATAATAAAGATAACTATTATTTTTTCAGCCTTTCATGCTACTCCTAATGTGTACAAACGAAAGAATAGAGAGACCAAGATCGAGCCAGACCCTTGTGGAGCAGACTGTTTCCTCTGGCTGGTAGGTTTCTGCGTCGCTGCTTTTGAAACCCTGAGAGAAGTGGCCTGGTCAGCCCTGCTCTGGAGAACTTTGTGGGTCCTTTTCACAACCTAAATGATTTTTCAGAATATAGTTCTAACCCTCATTGGATTCAGGGGAGCATGAATCCAAATGCAGACCTTACCAGATCTTAGCAGATTTCCAACAAGGACTAATTTCATAGCTAGCAGATGGGAAATTGTGGGGATAAGTGACTTCTCTGGCCTCGGTGCAGGTTCAGAATGAGGAGGAAGGAGTCTAACGCACATGGGGAAGGCTCAAACTATTTTTAAATGGTCTTTCAGAAGTCCATCCTATCTGAATTGCTGGGGATGGAGCCGCAGATGGGGAGAGCTGGTGCTTGGTGGGGTTGGAGCTGGTCGGATGCTGTGCCATGGGGGGGGTCCCAGAGGCTGTGGGGCTGGGGCAGGGGGAGAGCCCGGGAGAACTCATTGCCAGGGCAAGGGCCAGGGGAGTGGAGGGGTCAGGAAGCCTCTCCTGACCCAGCAGAAGTGCCGAGGGAAGCAAAGCCAGCAGGGCCTCGGCGCTCACTGAAGTGACCGTGAGCAGGTGGAAGGTCTTCCACCTCCTCTGGGTGGTGGCAGAGCTTGTCCCCAGGGCCTGTGGAGAAGCCTTTCTGTCTTGCCTGGTTGTCTGCCACCCGCCTTGTCTTCTGCTCTTGGTTGCAGGAAGGAGCCAAGGAGTTTGCTGCCCTGCACAACCCCAGGTCCAAGTGCTCGGGCCGGCGCCGCCGGCGGCACCACATGGTGGGCGCTTCCTGCTCAAACACCCCGGCCTCCTCCGCCGTCACCGAGACCCGGGAGGGCGACAGCGACCGAGACACGGGCAACGAGTGGGCCTCCAGCTCCTCGGGTACGATGCCAGCCCAGACCCCCCTCCTCCTCCAGCAGTAAGGACGGCGGCGCCGCACGGCTGGGGGTCTCCATGGCTCGGAGTCGGGGTTTCCAACAAACACACGGGACAGCGGGTCCTGCCCTCGCTGCTGTGGGGTCCTTGTCCCCCCCCAGCAATGGTGCTGGGCAAAGTGAGAGCTTCGCTGGGACCTGCAAAGCCCTGAGCCCCCATCTTGGGGCACCTTGCTGGGCTGTGCTGAGGGTGGTGTCCCTGGTGGGGGGCTTCTCTGTGGTGAGCGTGTCCTCAGGGCCGTGGACAAGCACCAAGTGCTCCTGCCATGTTGGGGGATGCGGTGGTGGGGGGCAGAGGGGTCCTGTACATCTGAGTCCCCTCTTGGGAGGAAGAGGAGAGGAGAGAGTAGTTTCCTCGGCCTCTTTGGTGCTGCTGTCCCGGTCAGGGGTCTCTGTCCCAGACCAGCCCTGGTGGGGAGGTGACATGGTGGCTTTGGTGCTGCGAGGAGCCAATGCCACCGTCCCAACAGGGCTGCCGGGAGGCACGGGACCCACAAGGAAATGTGGGATGCTGCTGGGAGGGTCATGGGAGGGGGTCACTGCCATGTTGTGTTTGGCCTAACCCCTGCCGTTCCTGCCAGAGGCCAACTCCCGCTGCCAGACCCCCACCAAGCAGAAGCTGAGCCCGGCCTCCTCCCAGCTCTTTGCCGTGGAGACGCCGCAGGAGCCCGTCGAGTGGACGGGAGCCGAGGAGTCGCTCTTCCGTGTCTTCCACGGGACGTACTTCAACAACTTCTGCTCCATTGCCAGGCTGCTGGGAACCAAGACCTGCAAGCAGGTGGGCGCCGGGAGGGTCGGGAGTGAAGGGAGGGCTCGGCCGCTGCTCGACAGTTGTTTTTCCTTCTCTGCCACAAACCACCCGGAGGAATGTGTTGCATCAACACTCTGTGATGTCGGGTGTTGTTATTTTGCAGTTCTGCTGCTGTTTGCAGAACGAGCCCCCATGTGCCTGGTGCTGTTGGCTCTCTCCAGAGACCCCTCTCCGAGCCGGGCGCTCCGTTTCCCAGGCACCAGGCACCCGTGGCCAGTGAAATGGGGCAGAACCCCCTGCTTAGTGGTCCCGGGGTTGGATCCCCCTGCGTGTGCTTGCTTGTGCTCTCTGTTTATGCTTTAGATAAAAACAACTTGAGTGCACCGAACTTTATTCTTCTTTCTGCTTCTGTTCTTTGCTAGGTCTTCCAGTTCGCAGTGAAAGAATCGCTTATAACGAAACTGCCAACGAACGAATTAATGAATCCATCCCAGAAGAAGAAAAGGAAGCACAGGCAAGTGTTGGACAAGCTTGTTTTGTTCTTAAAATGCAACCAGATCCACTGCTTTTTGTGCCAGCGCATTCCTGGTAATCCCCATCTGGCTCCCATCTGCCCGGGTCCCGCTGTCGCACGGGGCGGATGGTGCCGGACGGACGCTGGCCCCGGCCTCTCCCCACGCTGCCACCCCCAGCGGGGGGTTCTGTGGCCCCAGTGCAGCCCGAGGGGGGTGTCACAGTGCTGTGGGGCCATCCCACCTTCCCGACAGCAGCCACGGCCTCGGCTCCCTGGCTTACAGCCCTCTCTTGCGTGCCGATCCCAGTGTGCCCAGTATTATTCTGGCTTTGGCGTTTGCTTTAAATAATTCCTGCTGTAGCTGCCTCGTTCTCTGTGTTCTCCACGTTGTGTCCAGCTGCTGGTTATTAACTCATGAAGCTGCCAGGCAGCCCTGCTGGTGGTGCCCAGCAGCTGTGGCCGGCTCTCCCTGCCGGCGTCCTGTGCATCCCCTTAGACCCCCTGCTTTTTTTCCAGGCTCTGGGCTGCCCACTGCAGGAAGATCCAGCTGAAGAAAGGTAGCGTTTGCCGTGGTTGCTTCATGCCAGGTTTGCCTGGCCACTAGCCCATGGGATGGCCGTGCTGGGGGAATGGTGGCCGTGCTCTGGAGGCTGTGCCTGCGGTCTGGCTCGGCCGGTGGGGAGGTGGGGGTCTGGCCAGCAGCCCTGCTGTAGAATGGGCCCATTCGGGGCAGAGCAGAAGTGTCTGTGGGTCAATAACCACAGCCGTGGGGAGCCAGCACCTTCCCTGTCTCAGAGCCCCCCCCGGCCAGGCTGGTTTTAGTCATTTCTCCAACGAGCAGCTTCTAATCCGGGCGTTTCTCCTCTTCTTCTAGATAATTCGCCCACCCAGGTGTACAACTACCAGCCCTGCGACCACCCCGAGCACCCCTGCGACAGCTCCTGCCCCTGCATCATGACTCAGAACTTCTGTGAGAAATTCTGCCAGTGCAACCCTGACTGTAAGGAGAAGCTGGGACGGTGGGGCAGGGGAGCAGGCAGCTCCTCGGGGACCATGGGGCAGGGGAGCCATGGGTGGGCACAGAGCTGGCCCTTGCTGGAGACACACATTATTCCTGCGTTGGCTGCTCTCTCCATCCACAGCAGTGTGGTGAGCAGTCTGCTCGAGGCCAAAGGAAACCATTCCCTGCTGCCCCGTGACTCTCAGCAGCTGAGAGACGTGCTCTTGTTAGAGAACTCTCCTCTGCGTGTCTGTATCCCCCATCAGCAGCTGTGGGAGGTGCTGCTGGTTCCCTGTGAGCGGGATTTGTGGCCAGCAGTTGAGCTGGGAGCTGGGTCACGGCTCTGCCATGGCTGCTTTTCCTCTCTGGGCTTCATTCCCAGCTCTGCGATGGAGATGATCGCACTTGCCCACGTCAGTGGGGCTTCTGAGGGTGGATTCGTTAAGAGTTGAGACACAGCTTGGGGCTGGAAGGACTACAGGGTGATGGGGAGCCAGCTCGGGCTCCGAGATCCTCTGTACTGATCCAGTACTGGGCCCCTCAGTTCCAGAAGGACAGGGAACTGCTGGAGAGGGTACAGCAAAGGGTCACAAAGATGATTAAGGGCCTGGAGCATCTCTCTTATGAAGAGAGGCTGAGAAACTTGGGTCTTTTTAGTCTAGAGAAGAGAAGGCTGAGGGGGGATCTGACCAATGCTTATAAATACTTAAAGGGTGGGTGTCAGGAGGATGGGGCTGGTCTTTTCTCAGTGATGCCCAGTGTCAGGACAAGAGGAAATGGGCACAAACTTGAGTATAAGAAGTTCCACCTAAACATGAGGAGGAACTTCTTTACTGTGAGAGTGGTAGAGCACTGGAACAGGCTGCCCACAGAGGTGGTGGAGTCTCCTTCTCTGGAGACATTCAAACCCCACCTGGACAAGATCCTGCGCAACCTGCTCTAGGTAGACCCACTCCAGGGGGTGGTTGGACTTGATGATCTCCAGAGGTCCCTTCCAACCCCATATGATTCTATGATCCATTATGCTTATATTATCCAAGTTGTTTATTTTCAAACTGCACATAATTAGTCCCAAGAGGCAGATGAGTGTCTCCAGCCCCACAGACGGGGAGTACCTCCGTGCTCTTGGGGTGAGCCTGGCTCAAAGTGCCCCTGCTTCCAGAGGGTTTCTATGACCTGCTCCCAGCTCCTGGATGCCCGGGCTGCCCCACCATGTCTCCTTGTGTTCTCTGGGGGGCAGGAAGGTCTGGGGGGGCTCCTGCTGCCTGGTGCAGAGGTGGTGTAGAGCATTCTTAGCCGGACGGTGGTCAACTAGGGTGGCTCTTGGCCACAGGCTCAGTTCTGACCTGGCAGGGGGGAGACCTGACTTGGGGGGAAGACCTGGCTCAGGGGGAGCTTCTGTGTTCCTGGGGGGTGGAAAACCTCCTGGTGCCAACCCATGGGCTGTGTCACTGCAGGTCAGAACCGCTTCCCGGGCTGTCGCTGCAAGACCCAGTGCAACACCAAGCAGTGCCCGTGCTACCTGGCCGTGCGGGAGTGTGACCCCGACCTCTGCCTGACCTGTGGTGCCTCCGAGCACTGGGACTGCAAGGTGGTCTCCTGCAAGAACTGCAGCATCCAGCGTGGCCTCAAAAAGGTGCTGGTGGTGGCATGGCTGGGGGGCGGTGGCGGGGGGGCTGGCGTGAGGTAGGGTCAATGAACAGGGAGAGGGTGAGCGAGTCGCCCATGGCTCCCCGGGTGAGGAGATTGGGAAGAGAAACTGCTCTGCCCCAGGCTTCTGTAGCGCTTAAACTGGAGTATGGGTTGTGGATGTGAAAATGAGGGAATGGGAGTTAGGCAGGGAATGGTGGGAGGAAGGGAGTGTCAAAAGTGACTCCTGAGAAAGGCTGGGTCTTGAATTCTGCAGGGACTGCGGGTGGAAAAGGCTAAAATTCACAGAAAGGTGCAAATTACTGGGTGTCGAGTGATGCTCAGCTCCAGGCTGATGGTGCTGCGACCTGTAATAGTGCTACAGCTCTGTGGGGAACTGTGTGTCACCCCAGACCAGGGGACACTGGACAGACACTGGCTCCCCTTTGCTCCTCGGGGTTACTCAGCCCCAAGATGCTGGGACTTGGAGCGTGGCAGCCAGCACAGACAGCACAGCTGTTCCTGGGCACTGCCCTAACCCCGGCGTGTGCCACTGCACCGGGAGGAGGAGAGCTCTTCTCTGGTGCTTTCTGGGGTTCCTGGTGTTTGGGGGTGATCTCAGTGTGCCGGGGGTGATGGGTCTGCTGACTGTAACCCTCCCCTTTCCACCTTGGCCCCAGCATTTGTTGCTGGCACCGTCGGATGTTGCCGGCTGGGGGACTTTCATCAAGGAGTCTGTGCAGAAGAACGAGTTCATCTCCGAGTACTGTGGCGAGGTGAGCACTGCTGCCCACGCAGGGGCTGCCCTGCCCTCCTGGCAAGCTGTGGTCAGGGGACACTGGTCCAGTGGGGACTGCGAGCCTTCCCCAGCCCGGCCCTGGCCATGGCTCCCTCTGACTGGGTTTGGAGATTGAGTCTTGCACCACTTTGGGACTCACCTCAGTGCCCCAGCTCCTGTCTCTGCCCCTCCTGGGGAGCCCTGGGGAGATGCCGCCGTGGGTGGGAAGGGTCAGGGGGGTTTCTGGGAGGTGGGGGAGCACCACTCCTTGCAGCCATCCTCGTCATGCCCCTGGTGCTGGGTCTCTCAAGGCCATTCTCTTCCTCCAGCTCATCTCGCAGGACGAGGCTGACCGTCGAGGGAAGGTCTATGACAAGTACATGTCCAGCTTCCTCTTCAACCTCAACAACGGTAACTCGCCTGCGGCTTCCAGGGCTGGAGGGGACTTGGGCTTCCCAGCTGAGGAACTGGTGGCCGGGTGGGTGGTCTCAGCCCGTCTGTCACCTGAGTGGCCTGTCTATACAACACAGTTTTCTTCTTTTTTTTCCTGAATAGATTTTGTTGTTGACGCCACCCGCAAAGGAAATAAAATCCGCTTTGCTAATCACTCGGTGAACCCCAATTGCTACGCCAAAGGTGAGCTATCCCTGCCCCGTCACCTCTTGGTGGGGGAAGGTTCTCTGGGTCCTGCTTAGCTCTGGGATCGCAGTAGGTCCCCAGGGTTCCCAGTTGCCCTCAGCCTGGGGGAGCAGCAGAACTTCACAGACCTGGACAAAGTCTCCTCCTCCTCCCTGCAGCAGGTCACGCTCCCGTTGGTGAGGGCTCTGCAGTGGCCCTGGCCTCGGAGAAGAGAGGCTGGAGCTCCCCAGGGAGCCCCTGTCCCTGATCGGGGGGGGTTGGGTACCCAGGGCACCGTGGCCCCGGGGGCCAGCGGGTGGCCAGGCAGGGCCAGCGTGCTGTGAGACCTCCTGGCCTGAGCTGGAGCCACACGTCTCTGATGCTGTCTCTCTGGTTGCAGTTGTGATGGTGAACGGAGACCACCGGATAGGGATCTTCGCCAAGAGGGCCATCCAGGCGGGAGAGGAGCTCTTCTTCGACTACAGGTACCCTGGGGCTGGCGATGGGCACAGGGTGACCCCACGTTCCGTGCCCACATTTGTGGGGAGCACGGGAGCTGTTGCAGCAGCCACCACTTTCCCTGTCTCGCAGGTACAGCCAGGCAGACGCCCTGAAGTACGTGGGCATAGAGAGGGAGACGGATGTCATCTAGGCTGCGCGGGGCATCCCTGGCACACCTTCTGCTGCACCTCGTGAGCGATGCCATGTTTGCTTCACGCTGACATGACTGCTGCTGTCCCCGCTGCTGCCTGTGTCGCAAGCGCTGCTTCCCATCCAGACTCCCGGAGGGACTCGGGGCAGGAGTGAGTGGCTGCTGCCCAGGGGGGGCAGCTTGGCCAGCCCCCGGCCGGGGCAGGCTCGGGACCAGCTCTGAGGCTGGAGGAGGAGCCCCATGGACCAAGGCGGCTGGGGCTTGGAGGAGAGCTGTGATGCAGGAGGAGGGACAGCCACGAATTTTGAGTCTCTCCGTTTCCTGCCAAGGGCTGGAAGAACAAGAGCGAGCGAGGTACCGCCCGCACCGAGAGCCGGGGCACGGCAGGGGGGCAGAGGGGCTGGTGGTCCCCTGTCCCCAGGGATAGGCTCCCATCTCGGGTGCTGCTGCCTCTTGCTGCCTGTTGTGTCCTGTTGAGGACAGTGACAGGGTTGGAAGCCATAGAGAAGTGGCCGCAGCGGTGACCAGGCCCCAAACTGCTGTCGCTGAGGCTCTGTTTCCCCTCCGCCCCCGCTGGCGGGGGGACAGGGACCACCTGGCCATGGCTGGCACGGCACGATGCCCGGGGTGGGCAGAGCAGCACTATGCAAAAACGTCACTTTGGGTAGGGACACCACTGAGCTGGGTGGGGACAATGTTATGGGGGGGTGCTGCTGCCAGCACGAGTCCAGAGGCAGCAGGAACTGTGAGCCCTTTCCAGCCTGTGGCGTTCTCTTGTGGCTGGGGGGACTTCTGCCCATCCGCAGCTGCCTGGCACATCTGGGACTGGTGTGTGGATGCTTCTGTGGGGCAGCTTTGGGGCTGCAGGAGGGGGGCCCCGCTGACTGGCTGGGGCTGCACCCAGAGGGGGAGATGGGGCTCAGCCACCCTCGCTCCAGGCAGGGGCTTCCTGACCGTGTGGCTTCCTGGAGCTGGTTCCTCCACCCTCCCCTCAGCACAGTCCCCGTGGGAGCAGCAGGGTCTCTGGGGGGGATTCGGGCACTGAGGGAGCCAGCAGAGTGGGTCCCCTCAGCGGGGAGAGCCTTTTGGGGTACAGGACTCATTGGATGTTGCTGTGCTGAGGTTTGGGGGGCTCCTTAGAAACCTGCCGAGGGGTTTCTGACGCTGGTCCTGGCGATAAAGGGGAAATGTTCTCTGGCAGGGGGAGGTTTGGCTTTAGCACCCCATGCAAAAAGAAAAGGAAAAAAGCACTTTAAACTGTTTCTTCTCAGCCAGCAGCTGGGCCCGGGTCCCGCTCTGGGGGTGAGGGCACCACAGATGGACACCGTCCCCCAGCAGCACCTTGGCAGGGACGTTGTGCCTTGGCTGGGACGGGACAGTCGGGATGGGGGGGTCCTCTCTGAGCAGGGCCTGGGGTGGCCCGAAGGACATGGCTGTCCCCTGGGCCAGGGTCGCTGCAGCTGAGGGTCCGTCCCGGTGCTGGGTGCCGGAGGGTGCCCAGGATGGCATGAGGAGCCCTGGGGGGCCAAAGCCCCTCACCCCCCTTGGGGACAGTGGGCAGTGTTTGTCTGGGGACACCGCTCAGAGGGGAGCAGCGCTGGGCCCTTGGGGTTTGGGGGCTCGTCCCAGTGCGTGCTCCAGGAACACAGAGAGCTCCATGCCTTGCCTGCCATGGTGGGAGGCTGGGAAAGGCTGTCCATCCTTCTGTTTGTCCTTCCTGCTGTCCGTGACACCTCCCGGGGCTCGGGGGGGGGGGGGTTGGG